CAAGAGAGACCAAGGAGGGCTCGGTCAGCACCACCAGAACCGCACGACAGGGCCGCCCGCAGCTAGAGTCTGGCTTGGACACGCTTTGCAGAATCAGCGCCCCATCCTCCCCTTTCAGGAAAGGAGGGATGAGCAGAGGAAAGATGGGCCGAGCACAAGGCCAGCTTCCAAACTCAGGACCCACCTCGGCGAGGCCCCGGCCCGGGCCTCCAGCATTGTGGTCTCGGCCGCTCAGGCATCCCTGGAGGACATGGGCACATACCAGGATGACCCCTCCAGCCAGCAAGCGGCAGTGTCTGGGCACTTCTCTTCACAGCCCTAATGCAGCTGAGGGGCCAGGCCAGGAGCACACACTGGGCTTCTTGCAGAAGCAGGAGGCGTCTGCCCAAGGAGCAGGCAGATCTAGACCCTCCTGACTGTTTCTCTGACCTGATGTCACTCTGTGAGCAGGAGGACAAGACACCCACAGGCAGATCTAGACCCTCCTGACTCTTTCTCTGACCCCGTGTCACCCTGTGACCAGGAGGATACCCGCAGGCAGATCTAGACCCTCCTGACTGTCTCCTCTTACCTGATGTCACTTTGTGAGCAGGAGGACACCCACAGGCAGATCTAGACCCTCCTGACTATCTCCTCTGACCTGATGTCACCCTGTGAGGAGGAGGACACCTGCAGGCAGATCTAGACCCTCCTGACTGTCTCCTCTGACCTGATGTCACCCTGTGAGGAGGAGGACACCTGCAGGCAGATCTAGACCCTCCTGACTATCTCCTCTGACCTGGTGTCACCCTGTGAGCAGGAGGACACCTACAGGCAGATCTAGACCTCCTGACTCTTTCTCTGACCTGGTGTCACTCTGTGAGCAGGAGGACACCCACAGGCAGATCTAGACCCTCCTGACTGTTGTCTCTGACCCTGTGTCAGCCTGTGAGCAGGAGGACACCCGCAGGCAGATCTAGACCCTCCTGACTGTTGTCTCTGACCCTGTGTCAGCCTGTGAGCAGGAGGACACCCACAGGCAGATCTAGACCCTCCTGACTGTCGTCTCTGACCTGATGTCACCCTGTGAGCAGGAGGACACCCGCAGGCAGATCTAGACCCTCCTGACTGTCGTCTCTGACCTGATGTCACCCTGTGAGCAGGAGGACACCTGCAGGCAGATCTAGACCCTCCTGACTATCTCCTCTGACCTGGTGTCACCCTGTGAGCAGGAGGACACCTACAGGCAGATCTAGACCTTCTGACTGTTTCTCTGACCCTGTGTCACCCTGTGAGCAGGAGGACACCCGCAGGCAGATCTAGACCCTCCTGACTGTTTTCTCTGATCTGGTGTCACCCTGTGAGCAGGAAGACACTCACAGAAACTCACAGGAGAGCAAGGCAGGGGACAGTGGCCAGGCAGCCCCAACCACCGTTGTCACATGGAGTACATGGACAGATTCACTCACCTGTGAGCTCAAGAACCGCAGGCCTGTCTCGGACGGGGTACCGTGTTAATAAACCCAGAAAGTCAGGTTCCCGAGAGGACGGTCACAGGTGTCCGTTAGCTGCCTTCACGGGACACACGGAGAACCAGTTCCCAGTCCATGAAGGCGCCCAGCCACTGAGTCCTTCAGAGTGACTTAAGAGGTGGTGGCTTTTCAGACCTCCAGCATCAGCCTTGTTAATTCTCCAAGAGTGCTCCGAAGGCCCATAGCCCTGGGGTAAGGACTGCTAGTATTTTTATGGCAGCGCCATCCTCTAAGTCTCAATTCTACAGGGCCCTCACTTGCCCGGTCTCTCACAGACCATGGCTTTTTCTTGTTGGAAGGACTTCCTTTTTATTGCGCCTTGGTTGACCAATTTGAGCTAAGCTCCATTTGAATGTCATCATAAGATCATGAAAGGTTGAGGCCGCAACATCAACCCAGGATGGACAGAGAGGCTTCGTGGGACCTGCTCGGTTCTAGCTTCACCCTTGTCGATCAGCCCTGAAACCCAGGACCTTCCTGGGAGTCCTTTCAGAGCACTCAGCAACCAATGGGGAGTGAGTCCAGTCTGCACCTCTGCCACTGATGCAAACTTTGTCCAGCTGTGACCACTCCACATTCAACATCACATCTTCAAAATTCAGACTTCACACAATTGCTGTGAGATCCAGTTGCATGAGATTTCATCAATGCCCATGCCCATCGCCCCCTTCGGGGAGCAGTGATCACTAAACTCACCTGAGACTGCCATAACATTGTTAATTGACTATACCCCAAATCAAAATGATTTTGGTTAAAACAAAAATTAAATTAAAAAAATTAAATTTGGTTAAATTAAAACTAAATTTAAAAAATAAAAATTAAATTTTAAAAATTTGATTTGGTTAAAACAAACATTAAATTTTTAAAATTAAATTTTTGTTAAAAACAAAAATTAAAAAATTGAAGAAACAAACAAACAGAAATGCTCCCAGGACAGAGCAGGGATGAGAGCGCGGCCCTGAGTGCCTGCAGACGCGGGGCGGCCGGCTGCGGTCCCGGAGGGGTGGGGTGAGCCCTGGCCTGGGGTCCTCGCTGCTGACCATCAGGGCCTCTGCTTCTCCTCCGCTGGAGACAGAGACAGTCTACCTTCCGTGTTTCCATGTCTTCCATCTTTGTCTTTTCATAACATTTCCTCAGCTTTCTGTCCACAGTTTTCTGCTGGGTTTTGTCATTTTTCTTCACAACTTGATGAGCTCGCTTCCCCTTCCCGGGGGCCACCCCTGCCCCCCACCTCCCGCCCTCAGCTCCCTCTTGTTTCACAGACACTCTGGCCTCTGTCACCCCCAGAGATGAACAGCAGGTTCTTCAGGACTTCCCTCCCAGGCCCTCTGTGGTCTCTGCTTCCCTCGGGCGGAGTCCTCTCCACTCTTCTGGATCTTTTCCTTTGCGTAGTGGGCTTTCTGAAATACGCAAGCAGACAATCCAGGACAAGGGACATTCGGAAGACTGGAGCAGAGGATGTGCCAGCTGGGGACAGGGGTCTGGCCGGTTGATGCCAGGCTGTGGATGGTGGGGACCATGGGTGTGGGGACACAAAGAGCTGCCCGAGCTATGTGGGCCTCCGGTTGACTCAGTAAATACTAAGTGCCAGGCTCTGTGCCTTAAACGCTTCATTCATTCCTTCACAGGAAGAAAGCTGTCCCTCTTGTTTGGCTTGGGGAGATGACAACCTACCTGATAGGAGTTTTGAGTCTCGGGGCGGGGTCGGGCCTAGCGATGTGGGCCACTGGCCGTGGAAGAGCAAGACCCTTTCGCTCAGCCCACCTCTCCCCGTGCCAGACTTGGAGTGTTCTAGAAGCAGTGGCTCCCACCCTGCCCTGCCCTCCCGGGCTGTCACCTGCTGGCAACTGCTTTATTTCTACGAGCTCGTTTCCCTGCCTGGGCTGGTGCTGGGGTGGGCGGAGGGGAGCAGGGCACCTGGGGGCAGGCTGGCTTTGTCCGACGTGCCCACACCTTCCTGCTGGGCCCAGCTGGGTGCCAGGAGCGTCCAGGAGAGCATTTTAGGATTCTCACTCAGGTGGAAGAAGTCTGCCCTGCCCTTGCCCCTGGAGGAGGTAGGAGTCTGTCTCACCCGTGGGCAGGCTGGCACAGCCCTGAAGGGCCACCTGGGCTGGGCTCTTCTCAGGGGCTGAGACCCCTACAGGGGCATGGGGCATGCTCTCCGACCTTGCCAAGACCGGGGATCCAGTCCAACGGAGGCCTGGCAATGGGGGTCAGCCCCGGGCCTCACTGTCCACATGTAAGTGGAAGGTAGAGACGAGGTGTAGCACTGACTCTTGGCAGTCTCTGGACAAGTGCTTGCTGATTGACTGAGTGAGCGAAGCTCTGGCGTGTGGAGCTGAGTTAGGAGGAGCGTGACGGGGCCCCTGGTGCTTCTGCAGCTGGTTTAAACAGGTTACCTTCAGAACCTGGGAGGTGGCCCAGCAGACACCCCGGAGTTGGCTGTTACCCTGGATAGTCAGTGGGCTGGGAAAGAGGAGCCTGTTTGGGGTGGTAAACATGAGCTTAATGGGCCTTAAATGAGCCTTGGGGAGTCACAGGTAAGGAAAGGGGGCCAGGGCCAGAGCGAGAGCTGTCAGGAGGGGCTCTCACTGCCCAGGGCCTGCGTGGCCTGCCGCTGTCCCAGGGCTCTGCACACTTCACCCCTCCTCACTCAGCCCTAGGAGGGGAACTCCGGCCACCAGCTCCTGGCCGGGAACCGAGGCCTGAGAGGGGAAGGGGCTGTCCCAGGGGCGCGGGCGGAGGGGCAGACCCGGATGTGGACGCAGGCCTCTGAACCAAGCCCAGGCTCCCAGCCACTGGAATAAGTGATCGGCGGGACTCTGCTCCAGCCAGGGCCCCTCCCGCCCTCCGGGGAGCAGGGTTCAGAGCAGCCCCTTCCAGCTCCACGGCCCCAGGGAGGCCCTCACGGGCACTCAGAGTGGGAGCCTGGGTGGGGAGCTGAGGCCCGATCGCGGGCAGCCGTGTAGCTTCACCCACCCGCCTTGGAGCCTGACAGACCAGCAGACCCCCCCCCCCCCCCCGCCCGGCTCCGTCCCTGCAGGGCGTCCTCTAGTTCACCGACAGCCCGAATCAGCCACGTCACTGCGGCCCGAGTTAAACGTGTCCCTGACGGGGCCTCGGGTTTCCCTGATGGTTCAGATGGTAGAGAATTCGCCTGCGGTGCGGGAGACCTCGGTTCAGTCCCTGGGTCAGGAAGATCCCCGGGAGGAGGGCATGGCAACCCACTCCAGTATTCTTGCCTGGAGAATCCCGTGGACAGAGGAGCCTGGCGGGCTACAGTCCACAGTGTTGCAAAGAGTTGGACAGCAAGTAAGCACACAGCACGGGGCGTCACTGAGCGCTCTTCACTGGCCCCCATCAGCACAGGCTCTGTGTCAAAGCCCCCAGCCCTGCAGCAGACTTCCCGCCGCGGCCATTCCTGAGAAGGGGACACCCCAGTCTGTGACCACGGGGCCCTCACCCGCCCCAACTCATTGTCACCTGCAGACCTGCTCCCAGCAGCATCCAGCGTGTGGTGCTGGGGCCCCGAGAGCTGGTGACTCCGGCCCTGCTACCACTGGCCGAGAAGCCTCCCCGTGCTGAGATGAGCCAGCTGAGGCCGGCGCCTGGACCCCAAAGGATCCGTCAGTGATGACCACCACCATGTCACTCCTGAGGGCCTGCACCTGCTGCAGAGGGTCTGGTGGCCCTTGGCCAGCTCCTCCTCCCAGCAGGAATGCACCACAGAACTGTGTGCGTCCAGCACTCCTGCTCGTGCTAGCATTTTCTCAGGGTGCGTGCCAAGGAGCCTGGGTGTTTCATTCCAGGCTCATCTTGCCCATCGTCTCCACTAAAGGGCAGGACCTCTGGTCTGGACCCATCCGCCAGGACCCCCAGAGCCTGTGAAACAGCTGCAAGCTGCAGAGCTGTTGGGCCCAGTGTCTTCCTGGTGTCTGCCAAGACCCTGCTCTCTGCTCATTTCAATCCTCCGTTAACAGTTTCTGGGACACCAGGCAACGTAAGTAACATAAAAGTGAATTTTAGGAACCATCAACATGAACCCTGCAGATGGAAGAAGGAGGTGCAGAGAAGCCACCTGGCTTCCCAAGGCCACACAGCCGGTTAGCCACAGATGGGGCTGAGGTCCAAGCTCCCAGTGCCGACCTCACATTGCATCCCACGGCCTCACCCCAACCTGTGCCCAGGCAAGCCCTGGGCAGCCCCGGGAGCGCTGTTCCTCTTGTGGGAGAGTCTGATTCTGCAGGACTGACGGAGCCACACAGGAGCCTGGCAACAGCAACCTCCTCTGTCTCTGACCTGCCTCAGGCCAGGCAAGTGGCTGGGATCCAGGCGGCCTGGCCTGCTGTCGTACCCCGGCCCCCCACCCCCGCTCCCAGGAACGGCCGTCCTTGAACCAGGCCTGCTGATGGGGTAATCATTTCCAGAAGGCTGGATGTTTGGTTGCCGGCAGGACATAGGCCTGCACTGAGCCTTGCCATCAATGGAATACATTTCCCACATTGAGGGGAGGAAGGGCCTTCCTTCTGAAGTTAAAAGGAGGCAGAAAGTTGCTTTTGTGATGGTCTCTGAGATAAGCTGGGAAGTGCCCAGGGCAGACAGCGGGAGGCCTGGATTGGGAGCCACCCAGGCTCCAGCCCTGGTCCCAGCCCTCTGCCAAGGGTCCTGGGGCCTGCGGCGGTTGGGGCCTCGGGTCGTGGGGCCACGTGGCCTGATTGTCCACACAGATGCTGGGCCCCGGGGTTTCCCAGATGAGAGGAGCCTTAGCAGCTGCCATGGCCCAGGGTGTGTCTTCTGCCTTATGTTTGCGAAGGAGGGGGCTCAAGACAGGTGAGCCAGGTCTGACCCGGCGTGGCCAGCCCTCCTGGAGGACCACACGCCCCGCCCTGGATGCACAGAGTCTAGGTCAGCTGGTACGGCTGGGCAAAGGCCCCCAGGAGGCTCTCCATGGGAAAGGTGACGCTTCCCCTGGATGGTGGCCTCGGCCAGCCTGCAGACGCCCCTTTCTTGGGGCCCTTGCCCGGCACCCTCATGGCCTTTCGGCCAAGTCCGCAAAGAGGCGGACAAGCTGGCCTGGCCCCAGCAGCCCTGCTGTCTGGACTCCCAGCCTCTTTCTCTCTCTGGTCCCGAGGCTGCAGGAGGCCGTGTCAGCATCTGCAGAGCCCTGCCCCCAGGAGGAGGGCGTCGTTTGGATGTGAATGCGACCCTCTTGGTCTCATCTCTAACCGAGAAGAGCAGGGACATCTACCGTGGGGGTTCTTCCGGGACTAGCAGAGGCCCGGATCCGCTACCCAGGGGAGGCTGGCATGAGGCAGAGTGTGGAACCTGGGGGCACGGGTGAATCCAGGGTGAATGCATGCGGGCGGTCCAGCCAAGGTGCTGGTAAGGGCTGGGTGGGGGCATGCCCCGTATGAGGCGACAGGTGGAAGCAGGATGATGAGCACTCTGCTGAGAACGGTATGAGAACCAGCGGTGTTCATGATGACTAACGTTTCCCAGCACACGTTTCTAAGTCTTTATCACACACTGGAAATAGCTCACTTGCCAAAATTTGAGTCATTCTTCACTTTTTATTACATGTCGCTCAAATCCATCAACACATTAAAATAGCTGTGCCTTCAAAATACACTCAGGATCCTCCCAGGCGAGGTGGAGCCATGAATCAAGTGTCTGTGAAGTGGCAGAACCGGCCATGAGCTTCACACGCGTGAGTTCACGTGGGAGCCAGGTGACGCAGTGCGGTGACTGGGAGGTGGGGTGCTGTTGGCCTCCGAACGTCGGGGACGCCGAGGCCCAGGAGGGCCTCCTGCTGCTCGCACAGGAGCAGGACCCCGGTCCAGATCTCCTGTGGGGTCAGGCGGGAAGGGGCGGTGCCAGCCCCCTGGGAACTGCGGCTGATGGCAGGAAGGACAGGGAGGGCTGGGCTAGGCAGGACTCTGCTGGTGGAGTTCTCACTTCAACAGGGGACTCAATCCCACAGGTTACCTGCCTCTGAAACCCAGCAGGACCTTCCCAAGCCTGCTGGGGACAGACCCCGTGTCCCTGCCTCTTGTTTGTAGAAAAGCTTTAAGTCTTCCCAAGTTCCAAAGAGCAAGTTGAATCAGAGAAGTGAGGAAATGCAGAAACAAGGAAAGCAGTCAAGCAAGACATAAATGCATGCTTAGTCGCTCAGTTGTGTCTAACTGTGACCCCATGGACTGTAGCCCGCTAGGCTCCTCTATCCATGGGGATTCTCCAGGCAAGAATACTAGAGTGGGTTGCCATTTCATTCTCCAGGGGATCTTCCCAACACAGGGATCAAACCCAGGTCTCCCACTGTGCAGGTGGATTCCTAACCAGGTAAGCCACCAGGGAAGCCCATGAATACTGGAGTGGGTAGCCTATCCCTTCTCCAGCAGATCTTCCCGACCCAGGAATCGAACCAGGGTCTCCTGCATTGGAGGCAGATTCTTTATGAGTTGAGCTATGGGGGAAGCCCCCTGTCACCTAAGAGTGGCCCTAAAACCAATGACCAATCCTTACAAGAAAAGAGAAAGCTTTGGATATAGAGACAAAGAGCACACACCAAGAAAAATCTGGGTGAAGACAGAAGCAGAGACTGGAGTGATGCGTCTACAAGGCAAGACCCACTAAGTGTCACTGGCTGCCCCGGAAGCTGGAAAGAGGCCTGAAATGGACTCATCTTCTGAACCTAGAAAAGGAACCAAGCCTGCTGACACCCTGACTTCGGACCTCTGGCCTCCAGAATGGGGAGAGAGTGAATGTCCGCTGCTGTAAGCCTGTCCAAGTACACACCACTGGCCACCCTAGAGAACCAGTGCGGACGCAGTATAATGAGGGCCGCGTGGTCTGCTGTCGACAGCAGGGCTTAAAGACTCAGGCTTCTGTCGCTTTGCCATTTTTGAGAAAATTTCAACAATGCGTTTATTATTTACTAATTTTATAAAATTGCAGTGAATCATTTCAGTACAATAAGCTTCTAAAGGTACAGACTTCGTGAAAAACTCTACCTCATGATTTTCCTCAATAAAGACAAGCATGTGAACTGCATATAACATTCATCGACATGTACCACTAACCAGGGGCCATGGTGATAGTCCTGAGTTCATGAAAACGAAGGCACAACGCTGCTGAAAAGCTTTTAGCAGCTACTTTGAAAAGTGAGTTGTAACTCTTGTAAAACTGTGACCCAAAATCACAGGTGGTTACAGCAGACTCAGGTGGGTATCCATACACTCTGTGGAGCATGACTTTTCATTCAGATCAACGATCTTTTCCTAAGTTGATGTTGCTCATTTTTATTCCTAAGCTTCCATGTGCATGTGGAAATTTCCTGTGTGAGTTCCATTAGCAGAACTCACAAGCTGTTAAAAAATGCCAGCTTTCAATTTTCTAATCAGTGTCATCAGATGCTCTGAACAGAAAACCGACTCAGTAAATTCTAGGAAAGGATTCCATTTTTTAAGAATTTAATTTATGGACTCAAAGTAAAGCCTTGGGAAATTCATCAGCTTGAAAGGGACATGTCTGATAATATTGTAAGTGCAATTTAGTCAAAAAGGGCAACATTAAAATAAAGTGAGGGCTTCCCTGCTGGTCCAGTGGCTTAGAATCCACCTTGAGCGATACAGAGGACACGAGTTCAGTCCCTGGTCAGGGAAGACACCACATACTTTGGGGCAGCTAAGCCCGTGCTCCACAACAAGAGAAGTCATGGCAATGAGACCAGAGCATCACAGCTAGAGAGGAGTCCCTGCTGGCTGCAGCTAGAGAAAGCCCATGCATAGCCACAAATACCCTGCACAGTCAAAAACAACAATTAATTAATTAAAAAAATAAAGTTAGTTTTTTGTAGTGACAATACAGAGTGTGTTGGTAGAATGATGTTCTTGTTAAATGGAGGAGCTTAAGGACAGAAACTGGGGATTTCTTAGGGTGCAAATATAATTCATGATTTTTTCCAACACCCTGATCATCTAGGGCTTCTCTGGTAGTTCAGCTGGTAAAGAACTTGCCTGAAATGCGAGAGACTCCAGTTCAATTCCAGAGTCAGGAAGATCCCCTGAAGAAGGGAAAGGCTACCCACTCCAGTATTTTTGCCTAGAAAATGCCACGGACAGAGGAGCCTGGTGGGCTATAATCCATGGGGTCACAAAAAGTCAGACACAAGTGAGCGACTTTCACTTTTCATGATAGTCTACCAAGCTAACTGAAGTTACAGCCCTCACATTTCACAAAATTATGAAACATATATTTATTTATACATAGACACACACAGAGCTAGGATAACTGAAGTATAATTATTTTGTGATTAAGCTAATGTTGGAAACAAATATGTATATAATGGCAGTAAATTTTTTTCTCATTGTTACCTATTATGAATTTAATTTTAGTAATATCTGAGTTCTGCAGGACCTAAATGTCCTACAATGCTATTACTGATCCTTTTTTTTTCTCCCCCCAGATATCTTTACTGAAAGTATGAATTGAATGGAGTGTCAAAGAACTTAAACTTTTGAAGATTTTGACAAGTATAATTATTCAAAACAAACTTTAAACAAAAGGCATCAAAAATGAGCTAAAGAAAAAAAGAAAAGGAAAGCTTGTTTCAATCATGAAACTAAACAGTAAATAAAATTAATAAATATTAGCTACTATTGCTTGAATACTTCTGCCAATAATAATTATAAAAGCTAAAAGTGAAAGTGAAATTTGCTCAGTTGCGTCCAACTCTTTGCAACCCCATGGACTATACAGTTCATGTAATTCTCCAGGTCAGAATACTGGAGTGGATAGCCTTCCCCTTCTCCAGGGGATCTTCCCACCCAGGGATTGAACTGGGGTCTCTTGCATTGCAGGTGGATTCTTTACCAACTGAGCTATCAGGAAAGCCCAAAAAATTGGCTTATAACCAATCATGTCAAGGTACTGAGGATAAACTAAGTCAGGAAGAAATGAGAAGGGATATAATCCCTGAAAAATAAGAAAGTACCCAGAAAATTAAACCCAGGAAAGTAACGTTCTCCTCTAAATTTCTTTGTACTCAACAGACAGAAAAACAAACTTGCTGGTGATTCAGATATCAGAGTTAGCAGACAAAGGTTTTAAAATGATTACAGTTAATATGTCAAATAGTGGGGAAAGATACACAAAATGGAAGATGGAGTGTTTCATTGAGAATTGAAATCTATAAAGAAAGTCAAATAGACATTGTAGAACTGAAAATATAATATCTAAAACGAGATGTTCATTCAGTGGATTTAAAAATATACTGACACTGCAGAGGACAGAGGCAGAAAATATAAAGATAAGTTAATAGAAAATACCCAAGATGTGCATGAGACAAGTGCTCGGGCCTGGTGCACTGGGAAGACCCAGAGGGATCGGGTGGAGAGGGAGGTGGGAGGGGGGACCTGGATGGGGAATACATGTAAATCCATGGCTAATTCATTTCAATGTATGACAAAAACCACTGCAATGATGTAAAGTAGTTAGCCTCCAACTAATAAAAATAAATGAAAAAAAAAAAAGAAAATACCCAAGATGAAAAAGAGAAATAAAAGAAAAAGTAAAGAACAGAACTAGAGAGACATGGAATCACAGTAAAGGGTCTAATAGAAATCAATGACAATGGAATATTTTTATTTACTTATTTATTTTTGACAATGGAATACTTTTAAATTAAATGGGTCAGGGTGGGAAGAGGAGATCCTGCCAACCTAAAAATCTATATGTAGAAATCTTTCAAAATGAAGGCGTAAATAATGACACTTTAAAAAAAACAGAAGCAAAGAGAATTCATTGCCAGCAGACCCACACTTCAAAAAAAATAGTAAAAGAAGTTCATAAATGGAAGGAAAACAGTGCCAGCTTGAAGCTGAAACAACAAAAGCACTAGAGAAGGACAAATATTGTGTGTAAACATCAGAGATTATTAATTGTCTGAAACAGCAATAGCTTCTATGTCAGTATTAAAAACAGGTGGAAAAGAGCATCATGGATAGGAGGAGGTAAATGGAATTATATCCCTGTCTGTCTTCCTTTGTCAGTTCTGGTGCCAAGAAGCAGATGCCAAAACCAAGCTATACTTGCAACAGATGTGCTGGGGTGCATCTGAGAAGGCAGCGGGAGTAGGTAAGCAGGACCCTCAGCCCCGATGCTGGTTCCACTCTTGTGGATGGAGAGAGGGAAGGAGGAGGGCTTGGCAGGAAGAGATGGGGACTGTTTGTTGTGTGAGAAAGCCTTGGCCAGTCCCCGGCAGGCCACTGGGGAGCCCCTGGCAAAGATTACCTGTCGAAGGAATCCTTGGGCAGGACTAAATTGGCTTTGCACTCCCTCCAAGCACCATCACTACCAGAGAACAACTTGGGAGGAGACCATGGCCTTGGCTGGAGGCTACGAGGGAATCAGAAAGCGCTACCCCCAACTCCTTTCCCTGCAGAAATGTCTCTGGAACCCACACGAGCATTGCTTTAAATGCAGTAAAAATTCTACCTTACAGTAGACTGTAATCAATCAAGGATACATATTGTAATCTCTAGACAACCTCTATAAAAATATATACCCCAATATTCAGCAAAATCAAATATTAAAAAGCACTTGATTAACAATATCTTCAAAAAGATAATGTAAAGAAACAAATGGGCAAAACAGATGGGAAGAAAAACAATAAGATTAACAGTAACTGCATCAGTAATTACAGACAGATGGTTCAGTTGCTCAGTCATGTCCAACTCCTTGCAATCCCATGGACTGCAGCACACCAGGCTTCCCTGTCCATCACTGGAGCTTGCTCAAACTTATGTTCATTGAGTTGGTGATGCTATCCAACCATCTCATCCTCTA